TGCCACGCTGCTGGCAAAACCATTCCTGTACTCCATCCCTCGCTCGAGCTGCTGCCATTGCTTATGCGTAACGCACTCTGCGCTTTGTAATCCACCCGACCACGGGGATCGTCAATGGTGTTTAAATTCTGCGGCATCACCAGGCATGTCACCGGGGTCGACATGGGATGTCCCCGTCCGCTCCGAACTCGGCGGACGGGAGCGTAGTTAACGACAATCTGTTCTGGCGTGCCACAGAGTCGCCGCCCTCTGCCGAAGAAATATGCACTTCCACTGACCCGTGTCTGTTCTGGCGTTCTCGCTTACATGCGACACCGTCTCTCCGCAGCTTGCGTCTGGCCAAAATACTTGCGCTGGAAACACCTTTCAACGTCGGCCTGCACCTACGCCTCCCAACGCAGCGACCGTACACCCTTCAGGTTGTTCGTTGTTTTTATCTATTCCGGCCTGACTCGAAACATTCACACAGCATCCGAAAATCCTGCCGCTTGGTTTGTTGTCTCAGAACAGAGCGGTGATGAAATTATATTTTTCGACAAGCATACGAAGGTGCTCTCAACGACGCTACACACTAAATTGCTCCCTGCCGCAACCAACATTTGATATTTTTACGGTTATTTCGCACGTTTTGCGGAATTCGGACGTCGCACTGTTCTCACTTGTTCCACAGGAAGCGGCAACCGGAAATAAAACAACACTGCTACGCAAGGCAGGTCGTGCGTTAAGCTACGAGGTTATCGGGTCATGGGGGAGCTCACGCACAGCTCAGGCTGAACTGTGGCCCTGTCGGCTCTGCCACTCACTACTTTCATGCAGCTGCTTTGGGGGTGAAGCCTCGTCAGTCAACAAAATAGGTAACAAAGCAACAAGGAGCTTGCCCAGCAGTTTGCCTATGTGAAAAATGGAAATGACTCGAGTGATGAAACTGTGCCGGTCCTTATCTGGAAACAATTGTCATAGGAGACATAAACGCCTGCAACGGCAGGGAAGATGTTGGAGTTTTTCAATGCCCTGGATCTGTAAGCCCAAGTAAAATGCAATGCGAAAATAATGTGGGAAAAAAACAGCCAACGTCCCACAAGCTGTATAACAGGTCGGGAGATGTGGAAATAGACGAGGAAGGTACAAAGAGCCTAGGAAGTGACCGCAAGAAATTAAGATTAAATTTGGCACATCAGAATCAGAACAGGCTCGGAAACAGAACGAGCAAATCGAGCCAAAATGAAGCTAAACTGTACGAAGTCCAAAGTATTTAGAACTTAGTGGCCGAACAACCCGAAAATAAGGGAAAAAGTGTGGGGAAATCCGGACGTAATCAGTGTGCTGAACGACATTTCATCGACATCAGTAATGCCAGAAGTATACTTCCAGGAAGAGGGCTGAAGACAAGTTCTTTTTTTTATTGTTTATGCGCTAAATATTTCTGCAGATATTACAACCCGAGTTTTGTTAGAGAGTGAACACTATCATCGTGTGTCCCATTTTGCCTTTCACTGTGTCGTGTGTCGGGCGCCTGGCGTCTTTATTTTAAGCATTCTTAAAGGGGGGGGGGGGGGGGCCGAGCCCACACATAAGAATACTTCGGGGTCTGTTTGCCCCCCACTCGGTCGTCGACATGCCCTGCAACGTTTCGTTGAAAGCGGCTTTCAGTGCACATACACTCGACCACTGGCATCCAAATGATAGCTTAGCTTGCAAAACCCTTGACAGTTCCGACAAGGCCTGGTGCAAGCTCGTGCCCAAGACAACATCACATTTTTCCCTGAGCAACGCAAAGAAAGAAGCGGCTGTACATAGCGCAGTCTGTTTGGAAACCTCAGATCAGGGCTCACAGATTTGTTTGCTTTATTGAAGCTACCCGGGTATACATTTAGCAAAGAAAATGAAGCGAGTAATCCCATCCAAGCTCTCAACGAAACATTGCCGGAGCACGTGTCCACGAAATGCGCGTTCTTTAATACCAGTCTACAAAATGTGTATCCAGGAAATGTGTTTCAACAAAATGCTACAGACCCACGAGGATGGAGTGCTTGTAATTTTTAAAAGAAAATGATAAAAATGTCGAATTGAGTATTCCCTACCTTCATTTAATGCACAATTGGCAATCAAAAACAGCATACCCTGGTCCGACAACAATGGAGTGAGGAAACGAGGTGCTTGATTACTTAAGAAGGAGCAACAGAAATTTCTCACTTTTAAGGACTTCTGGCGATGTGCACTCGAGGCAATGGTTCCGCAGCCTTAAAGGCAGTGTCTATAATAGCCGAACCAGGCAAACCAGCAGCACTCAGTCTAGTTTACCTTTATGCCATTCTGTCCGTTCACCCTTTTTATTTCCAACATTGCTAAACAATTAACCTTTCTGGTCGGTCACCCAAAGTTGTACGTCACAAAAGCCACCTGGATAAAAAAAACAATTCCAGCGGGACATGAAACTTGCTCACCTCCCCCCAAAAATACCATGGACTGGCGCCAGAGACTCTGCACGAGCATCGATACAACCCAGCATTGGGGAAGAGATTATCCAGCAGATGTTACCATCTTGTGCAGAGTACTCTGAGCAAGACATTTAGCCATGTCATTGTTAATAATAAAAATAACTCACCATGCGTTTTCTTTTTTAAATTGTCACATTAGGATCTGAACGTTTTTAGCACATGGCCATACCAAATATCGCACGAGGTTGCAGTGATCGAGTTGCCTGCGACGTTCAATTCATTTCCCACCGACCAATTTGGCATGCACAGTGACTTTGGGCGTAGGGACAAAGCCAAATACGGCGAGCCATGTACCCATTTGCCCCCTCTATTTTCCGTTTAAGTCCTTTTCCAACGACGTTACACCGCTTCCCGCCGCCCTCGGCCATGCACAGGGTTGTTCCTCGCGCTCGCTAGTACCCCTCGTTTACTCGGTGCTGCTCCTTGGCCAAATGGTCCCTCTAGACTTCACGCATACCGTCCTCAAAGTGCAAAGAGTGCAATTACCATCTCGCAGCTTTCACCTTGCTCCGCCATGCCCCGCACTGCTCGCTCGCCTTTATTCTCAAGTTCTCTCCGTGAGGCCAGAAGGCGGGTCAATATGGGATGCGGGATTGCTATAGGCACATGTTTGCTTTAGATCCTCAGATGCAATGACTCCAGGAGAGCCAAGTTCGACCAAATACCACGAAAGCCAATACTGGCAACTCTCGTGGAGCGTGATTGAAAAATGATTGCAGCGCCCCTGGCGAGCTCAGAGTCTCCGCTAGCAGACGAGTCCTCCACAACGCATTGGTTTTGCCTTTCTCCGTGCGAGGTGACCAAGGAAAACAAAATTGTCACGGGTATTCGCTGCTTTGAATGTTAAAATATAGGTGCCACCTCATGAGTGAAAGACATTTTCTTCGTGTGGAAATGATGTTAGAGCTTTCAAGGGTCAATTTAGGGGCTCTCCTGATGAAAACATCTCTGTGACATCTTATGTAGCTAGGCAAAACACCAATGTACCTTCACGCTGTTTTTTAAAAAAGGGCAATGTACGAAAATGCCAGAACATAGCAGCGGTTCAACTTTACCTTTCTTATCAATCAATTTGTTTTGTTGTTGCAATTCCCGTTTCTCATTTATATCTTGCTTATAACGTTTTGCTCAATAGGTGAGCTGGCTAATCCCACTAAGAGCGTCTCTGTAAGAAGAAGCAAAAGGAAATTTTGAACCATGTACGTTATTGCGATGTCAGTAGGCTCTGGAAGAAGTCGATCGTGCACATGCAAATCTGACGCTATTACGACGAGTTGCCTTTTTTCTGCGGCATTGCGCTTTCGTAAAAATTTCCATGTGTTCTCAACGGCAAGTCTCAAAGCTTACGCAGGGTCTTAAAAAACTTCTTCGGCAAATGACGACGAACGAGTAGATAATGTGTCTTGAGCACGTTGCCGCCAGCCGCTGCAAAGCTAGCAAAACAACAATTTGCTTTTGAGCAAGATGGCCGTCCGGTGGCTTCAATCGCGCTGCAGCGAGCGAGCGGGCAAGCGCGATCCAGCAATTGTCATAAAAATCAGTGCCAGGAACAGATGCTTATAGCCAATAATAGTGCATTGAAGCCAACCAGGTCGAGGAAAGTTGCCTAGAGCCAGTAATATCCAGTTGAAGTCATTCAAATTTATGCACACTCTAATTGCAGAAATCGTCCAATCGTCCCTGAGAGCCATGCATAGCCATTTCAAGCCGATTTGGCCAAGAACAGCGCATAGCCAATAGAAGCCACTTAACTCCGTTCATATTCAAAATGTCATACCATGAAGCGAGGCAGATCTTCAGAAGAGATTTTCTTTCAGACGCAGTCAAGTCGCAGTTGCAGGGCGGGATGCCGAAGTGACGCTGTGGTAATATTTCTCGGAGGGCGGCTTGGTCTCTTTCCAGTTGGTCAAACTGCACACGCTTGCCAGCTTGAATCAGCAGGAGAAGACAACTTTTCTTAGCACTGACAAGGCGTGAAATGGAATTTATCAGGCCAGAGCTAGATAAAGAAAAATCATAAACATGGGCAGTCTACAGTGACTCAATCCTTATCGATGCTCCCGTTCGTAACTTCCTCTCTTTTAGCCCTCCCCCGTTCTGGTCAAGGTGCGCATTTCTCGTACCAGGAAATAAACATTGGTTGTTTTTAAATTAGAGAGTGGGGTTGTCAGGGAAAGTCCTCAATGTTTTTATTATTTCTCCTGCCAACCCCATGTATTTTACGTTCAGTTTCCTGTATTAGACTGAACGGTATTCGCCGTAAGCAGTGTGACCCATACTTTAGGGTTTGTCGTTGTTGCTGCTGAGTACAAAGTTTGACTTCACAGTGGACTTCGATACGGAAGCTACAGTTAACCAGGGACCCAGTGTTTAGGCATATTACCCTAATGTTGTATATATTGAATACTAATAAACACCTTTCTGTCCCAAATTTTTCTTTGCAGCCATTCCTTTCTATGAATTCGCAGACGCGCTTTTTTCAGAGGCTCTGCCAACGCTCACCCATTCCTAGGAGAAGATCGTAGTTTTCCTTGAGATTGGTCATCCTTGACTTCACGTAGAATGACATGGCGCTCCATTCCTCATCCGAGAAGTATTCTCGGATGAGGCTGAAGCGAGGCAGGTCTTCAGAAGACATATTCGCTGGGGCGCAGTCGAGCCACGCCAGGGTTGCAGGGCGGGAGCTTGGTCTCTTTCCAGTTGGTCAAACTGCACACAGTTGCCAGCTTGAATCTGCAGGAGAAGACGACATTTCTTAGCCCTGACAAGACGTGAAATGGAATTTATCAGGTCAGAACTAGAAAAAGAAAAATCATAAACACGGGTAGTCTACGTTGACTAAATCCTTATCGGCACTCCTGTTTGTAACGTCCTCTCCTTCAACCCTCCCCCATTCTCGTGAATGTGTGAATTTCTCATGCCTGCAAATGAACATTCGTTGTTTCTTAATTAAAGAGTGTGGTTGTCTGGGAAAGTCCTCTTTGCTTTTATTCTTTTTATCTTAAGTACTTTTGTGGGGTTCCCAAGAAACAATGAGCCCTTTCTCCCCTCCTGCTCCGGTGCAAGGTTTCAGAGTGCACAGCAAAAGATGGACAGTCATGTCAAGCGCCGTCATGTCACGTCAAGCGCAAACATAGAACGTTAGTTTTCTTGCCTGCATTTCCTGAGTCGCAAGGAACGTGCTCCGATGGCTGACAAATCTCTCACAATGTATCTGTTAATTTTTTTTTCAACAAGTTAAATTAATAATTTTGAGCTCCTGTTATATCCACATTTTGGTGCATTCATTACTCGTCTAAAGTGTCTGGTATGTGCTCAATAAAGTTGTGTAATGTCCGATGCATTATAAATAGCGATATCTTCTCCAGTAATTATACAGTTGCATTACAACACAAGCCCTACAAACACCGATTTCTCTCCGGCATTAAAATTAGACACCGAAAAACACCGATTAAAGGGCAGCTCCGCCGTCAATTTGAGCGTTTTTATCAAAACATATTTTCGGAAAGGGTACTAAAAGTTTAGCCTATAGCAGCGGTTAAATCATTAAAAAACTGTTTACATAATTTATAATCGTTAAAATACGCTGAAACCGATACCGAAACTAACTTGCCACTCGACTGGTCCGCCATTTTGACGTGACGTCACATATGGTATAAACACTCGCACGTGTGCAGTTTGAGCCTGGCCAGCCTGGCAGAAGGTGACTGTTTTGTGTTCGTGCCGCAGATAAAAATGGACTCTTTAGGCTCGTCCGAATCGAGCAAATATGAGGATATGCTGTTAGATGTTGAGGAGGATGACGATAACCCGTTCTCGTACGATCCGCCGGCATCGCCTCCGAGAAAACCACCAGCGGCGGCTGCATTCGTGATCCGCCGCCATGTGGACCCAGATGCCGCTTCCGAAGCGGAATGGTAAGGCAGCTTTTGTTGCTAGCACGCCAATAAAAACTGATCGAAGTTATGCCTTTTAATTGGAGGCACTTTTTGTTATATCTTGGGGTCTGACAATAGACGGTTTTAGTAGACTGTGTTTTCAAGCGACGCTTCCACACACAACACCAATTTCCTCCAGTCGCCATTACGCGCTCTTACATAACTGTATAAACCGACAACATAAGCAAAAAGCAGACAGTCGCTAGCACCAACTAGATACAAAGCAAGCACCCTGACCAACATGTGACGTCACGGCAACGTCAGCGCCATCATGGCAGCCTCCGTGTGCCGCTCTTGCTCAGTGTTGGCAGTAGGGCTGCAGCAAGTGATTTGGGTGTGTACATGTAAATTTCAAAATTCATTTTCTTCTAAAAAAATGAATATTTCTCCGAGATATTTTGTACACATGCTCAGGAAGGGCATACAAATACATGGTGGAAATTTTATAGAAATCGGTGACCATCAAAATTACGGCGGAGATGCCCTTTAAAAGAGTAAAAAGAAACAACAAATAACTTCCTAATTTGAAGAAAAATAAATGCCGAAAAACTTAATTCATAAGACGACTAAGAGACTCTACTGTCATCTGCAATTAATAAGCTGATTTGGTGCAACAAACCCAGTCACTTGGAGATCTGCAGCACTTCAAACAAATATTTCATTGAACCTCTCATAAAGAATGCACAGCCTGGTCTCCGAAAGCTTTCTTTGATTGACTGGTAATGTTTTATTTTTCTTTCTCACAAACTAGTTTATGTATAATATCATATGTTTTCCTGGTGTTTCTACCGTGATGCTCCAAATGAGCAACATAGTGGGTTTTTTTTTGTTTTTTTTAATGCAAGAGCATTAGCTATTCCATAAAGCGGAGCCGGCGGCGTCTGTAACTGTGAAAAAAAACGCGAAAGAAATTTCCATTCTCTCATTGGCTGAGCAAAACAGCTCCTAGATAGCCATTGGCGGCTGTTTCACTAGAGCGCACGCTCAGCCACAGGCTGCAACTTTGGCAGTAGCGAAACGTGGCCGTCCACGCCAGTGGACCTCACAAACGAAGAGAGCGCAAGAATGACATTCACGCTTTCGCATTCACAACTCATAAGAAGTGCTGAGGTGTCCTTGGAACTTTTCTTGGCAAGTCGCACTTTGGCGGTAACATTATTAAGTAGGCTTCTGAACTCTTTTTTTTTTTAAGTGCTCTATCCTCAAGATTGGCTTTACATCTATTCCAGAACGTGTCTTGTTCATGACTCAACTTCATCATTAGGGCGATAAACCACACATTTTTACGTTTTCTCTGCCTTGACCGAATTCGTTTCGCACACTTGTTATATAAAATGCCAAATCGTTCAACCGTTTTTATAAGCAGTACAGCACTGCTTATAAAACTTAAATGACTGCAGCACTTTGGTGTCATTAAATCACAGTGATTTAATGGCACCAAAATATAGCAGTCATATTAATTAATTAATTTATCCATCTTTTTTATACAAAATTACAGCATAATGATTAACCTGCTTCTCGTCTAGGGCACCACCAAGCACAATAAGAGGTACAAAATAGTTGTCTGCCAATTTTTGTTTAATCACCCCTCAGAAAAGTTGAGTTCATCGAGTCTAACAACTATGTGATCAATGCATGTGCTTGTAATTTGAGTTCCCAAACTCTCTTCCCACAGAAAATTCCCTATGACGCTTTCTATTCCAAAGCCCGACAACATATTCAGATACTCTGCAACACAGTATTTAGATACATTAATTACATCGATGTTGATATCTTCAGTCAGAACGAGATGACTGTTAATGTTAAATACATTCAGAAAACATTCCAATTCGCCGTAGAATAAAAGAAGATTTGAGATCGGTGGCCTATAAGCACAAGTCACAAATGATGCGGTATGTTTGAGAATTGTAACAACCAACCTCAGCATATACAGGAGGGGGCAACCTGCTCGAAAGCTGCCTCTCCAAGCACGTTGTAACCCCCCGCACTGTCACGCTGAGGCCTTGTCTGTTACAATTTTCAAACATACTGCATTTTGAACTAACCTAAGTATTCCACCTCCCCTCCGATTTTCTTTGCATAAGGAAAATGCGTGAAAACCATCAAAAGAAGACAAGTTGCCTGCCGCTATGTCAATGTCTGTTTTGTTAGTATTAAAACATACCGGCTATCGAGTCCCCAAAAAAAGCATCATTATACTGGTCCCAATGCTGGGGGAAAACTCATTCCATTAACGTGCAGTAAGTTTAGGGTACTGTATGTTTTCAAAGGCGTCAATTGGCGGCCACTGCAGTTTTGCTTTAATCTTAAACGAATTAAGATATTTATGTTGGAGTTCTTAGAAGGTGCGTTCCTCGGGCCATAGGCTGTTTAATTACCAGGTGAAATAAAGCGTAGCGGTATTATTGCGGGGTTGTAAACACAGATCCCAGAAGGGTTAATCGTTAAGCCGGGGACATAAAACGACAGTCAAACAGATTTGAACGCAAGTCACCACGAGGTCCGTACATCGAATGCCCTATCCCTTTTTCTGAATTCGCAGACGCGCTGGTTTCGGCGACTCTGCTACGCTCAGCCATTTGTAGGAGAACATCGTACTTCTCCTTGATGTTGGTCATCCTCGGTTTCATGTAGACCGGCGAGATGGTCCATTCTACCTCCGAGAAGTATACTCGGCTGAGAATGAAGCGCGGCAAGTATTCCCAAGACATTTTCTCAGCGAGGCAGCTGACTCCCGGTCCCAGAGCGGGATGCCCAAGTGACACTCACCCGACTCACCTATGACCATCTGCTTTCCCGCACTGTGCGCCACTTCTTTTTTTCCATTAGCCAAACAATAACTTTTTACAAACGTCTTTCGCCTTTGAGTGCGGGAAAATTTTTGGATAAATATTTAGCGTTGCGTAGCGTGACACGTCTCGAACCTTTTCTCCTAAATCAGTTTCAAATCGCAGCGGCAACTTTAGGCGTGCATCGCAAACTGGCGGTTGCGTTCTTCATTCGTTCCATTCGTTCGCCGCGGGAAGTTGCGAGGACTGTTCAAGAGCAAGTAAAAGAAGGTGCCATTGATGGCGCTACAAGCCACACATAACCAGAGCCGTGTATGCACATAATGGTGTATTGTTCCAGCTTGTTCTAAAACTTAACCAAAAGCAGTTTTACGTTGGTTAAACTCGGATTACGTGTGTTACGAATAGTGCTCATTGATACGGGTATTAAATAGAAAGATAGCAGCAGTGAACCTCTATGTTGGTTCCATAGAGCATTCTATTTAGCGCTCTCTGGGCGGCACCATTTTGTTCGACAGCAGCGCCCTCTTTATACATCCGGGAAATTCAGCGGGTTCGTCGGGGTAAAACGAGAGAGAGGGCACGCGCCCGACTCCGCTAGCAGACGGCAAAAAGGGAGGTTGCCATTTTCCATGGGCTGTATCGGCGGATTGTACGGAACATCGAACTCTCGCTCGTGGCTGCCGTTGTGAAGTGGTTCGCGTTCTTAGAATAGTTATGGCTACTCCAAAATCAGCCTAGAGCTAGCAGTTGAGTCAGCGGGCAATACTACCCTCAACTACTGCGTGTATTGCAGCAGGAGAGCACGTTTTTATTTATTATTTCAGACATCCACTCATGGTCGGTAAAGGCCTACACCAGTACGAACTCTGTATACTAAAAAAGGTACAGCCACCGGATTCACTTTTCGCCCGAGAGACCGGCCAGTCTGACACAGTTTTTCCTATTGTTTTTATTAATAATAATAATAATAATACTTTATTCGCATTGATA